GGCTTCTTCACCGCTCATTTTCTTCTTGGAAACAGGACGTGTGGTTGTGCATCCTGTCATTTAGATGTATTTATGGATGTAAATAAAGGAGGTTATTTCAAGCTGGGGCTCCCGTCTTTGGCTGAGCTGTACGGTGTTGAAGTTGAGAGTCTAATTATTTTCTATATTTTTAGAGCGACGCTTCATTTCATCTGTTCTGGAATGGAGATTTCTTCTCACCAGTTTCACCTCTTGCAGCAACTGAATGAGCAGCGCAGGCAAGACTTATTCTGTGACTGCAATATCCTGGTCGAGGGAAAGGTCTTTAAAGCACATCGCAATGTGCTGTTTGCCAGCAGCGGCTATTTCAAAATGCTCCTTTCGCAGAGCTCGAAGGAGACCGGTCAGCCGACGACAGCTACTTTCCAGGCATTTTCTCCCGACACATTTACAGTTATTCTAGATTTTGTATATTCGGGCAAATTGTCTTTAACGGGTCAGAATGTCATCGAAGTCATGTCGGCCGCTAGCTACCTGCAGATGACCGACGTTATCAGCGTTTGTAAAACATTCATTAAGTCGTCGCTCGACATCAGCGAGAAGGAGAAGGATCGCTACTTCAGTCTGTCCGACAAAGACGTAAACTCAAACGGCGTGGACCGATCCTGCTTGTACGGCGCGGGCTGGAGGGCAGAAAGCAGCCCCCCGCATTCGCACCTAAGCCCAGACCAAGGGACATGTATGATGGGCGGGAACGCTTGGAGCAATTTCAGCTACTATCCGACTTCTCAAAGAAACGCCCAGCAGCAGCTGTCCAAACAGGAGCAACGGCAGGATTCCGTAAAGAAATCCCGTCACCTGGGATTGCAGCAACCTTCTGACATTCCTCACTATAAATCATGCAAACTGGAGGACAGGGCTGTCGAGCCCGCTGGCCACATTGCTCCGCCGGAGGAGCAAGTTCCGATTGAAGCAGAAGTTGAATCTCCTCACGTGGGATACCAGTACGGCCAAGGGCCTGACGTGATGCCGAGGAGCTTGGCTGTGTCACAACAGGAGCATGAGTCGCCCCGTTCTTCTGGTAAATCGAAGTCTTCAAAAGCAGACGAGCAGTACGCGAGCATGCCCTCCATCCTAGGGGTCATGGGAAGCTGGGCTGAAGGTAAGGGTTAGTTTTAATGCTGTAGGTGCAGAGTCATCCAGGAATCGTCTGTTCTGTCCGTGAGAAAAGAATTGAGTGTACAGTTGTCAGAAAGACAACTGCTTTGTCCAGAAATGCAAGCTTGGAAAGTTTAACTCTTTCTTTATTAGTAATTTTCACTTATTGAAGTGCCTGGTTTATTTCAAAATATATAATCTTTAGTGTCTCGACGGCTGTATCTTGCAAATTTAAGTCGTGATCTTTTGGGCTATTTTTAAGCTCATTTTAAGATAGCTAATGGTCCACTCCTTTTCGTTTGTTGCACTCCTCTGCAATTTACGGGAAAACACAAGATCTTTGTGCTCGAAAAAGCCTATGATAATATTTTCTAATAAAAGCAGTTTGCTCTTCTGCTCATAAAATGCCCTGTCTACTCATGTACTACTCGAGGAAACGTTATGACTTAATTTATTTATCTTTTAATCGCATTATTTCCCAACAGATGATCTGCCCAGGATGAGGTTCAAGTGCCCGTTCTGCACTCACGTGGTGAAAAGAAAAGCAGATCTAAAGCGTCACCTTCGCTGTCACACGGGAGAGCGCCCTTACCCTTGTGAGGCCTGTGGGAAGAGGTTTAGCCGGCTAGATCACCTAAGTAGCCATTTCCGAACAGTACGTGTCTTTAGTAACTGCCTGCTTTGTTTAACGTGTAACTCTGTAGCGGTACAATTAAACACAGCACGAGGGTATCTGCTTGATATAGCGACTGCCGTGAACAGGAGGTAATAGAAAATTAATCTGGTTTCGTTGAAGTCAATTTGAGGTATAATTTGCATGGAAGGGGATGAATTTCTCTGTTAATTGATGGCTCGCAAAGGTCCTGCTCTCTGCAAGGCCTCTAGTAGAGCTTAAGTGGGCAATTACGGCATCTGCCATGGTTTGATTTTTAACGGTTCATGACTGTCTCTCAAAAAGAGTTCAATACCATTTGATGCGACTCCAGCCCTACTTTTGGTCACCTTACAAAACATTTCTTTGTGGAGACGTTATCAATTTATTCATTTTGATTTTCCCAGATTCATCAGGCTTGTAAGCCCATCTGCAGAAAGTGTAAACGCCACGTGACGGAGCTAACAGGACAAGTGGTCCAAGAGGGGACGAGACGTTACAGACTCTGTAACGAGTGTTTGGCTGAAGCCGGCATAGACAGTATTCGCATTGACTTGGAGGCTGAAGCACCCCTTGAATTCCCACAAGACGGGGATAAGGATTCCAGGTGGCACTATGGGGAAGACAACAGATCCGACGTGGAGATTGTGGAGGATGGGTCAACCGACTTGGTCATTCAGCAAGTTGATGACAGTGAGGACGAAGCAGACGAAAAGGAAGTAAAACCAAATATTAGGTAGTCGTAAGACAAGGAGTAGGAATTCTGCGGAAGAGGGCGAATATACTGTCTTGACCATAAACCCTCCAGCAGCCTGTTGTTAATCCTACAGGGACACACTGGTTTCTCTTTACCAGCTCCAGACTTGCATGTACTCGTGGACATGCCATTGAGTCCATTCTGAGTTTTGTTACCAGAACACGCGTACTTGGCTTCATTAGAAAGAATCCATCCTTCAATGACATAATGGATGAACACGGAAACGGAAGTGCTACGTGGATAACTTTTTGGAGTAGACAATGGGTCACTTCTGAGAACCTCTTTCAAGAGAGTGAGGTCTAAATGCTTAAAAAAAAATCACCTGGTAAAATTGCCCACTTCTTGTAGACATGTGGGTTTTATATGTAATATCATGTGATGATAAAGTATAAATACCCCACACACTAGAGTATAAAGAAAATCTCTCTTCAGTATTCAGAAAAGAAGATAATATTCCACCAAGTTTCATTAAGCCTTCATATTAAGATAAGGAAAAAAGGCAGCTAATTAAGAAAAAGCATATAAAAATGCTTTAGCACATCCGTCTGGAAAATCACGTTCTTGTAAAATTTATTAGAATGAGTAGAATCTTTAGCAGATCATTCATTCAAGACATGTCTTTGCAAGAAGATAAACACGAGTGTTAGTCCTAGTCAACACATCAGAGATAAAATTATTACAAATATGGATCATTAATTGCTGTCAGTAGATGTTTTATTCATTCTGACAATTGGGAACTCTGTGCTATGTTTTAATAAGCACTAGTAAAATACTGGGGGGTTTTAAACCTCTCAAAAGTGCCAGACCGATGTGATTGGTAGCCCTGGAACCACGGCAGCAGCGTCAGCTTCTCCACGCTAATGTGAAGGAAACAATCCTTACAAGGTCGCGTTAGCTGTTCTTTTCTCTCTTTGTCTCCTGTTTTGTTTTTTTTTTTATTTTATTTTTTTTGTCAATAACAGTGGCAGAACAGTTTGTACAGTATATACACCATATCGTTAGAAGTGGAACTGATGAAATTTTCCATCTGAAACCATTGACTACTCATTTGTATTGACCTGTACTCAGTTTCAGCTGAGGAGCTTTAAGAGGGAGTCATTATCAATATTTATATATTCCCAAAGTCATCTGGTCACCGAGAGAAAATACTTTAACCTTTGCCAGTCTGTATGATATGCCAACGAGAACACGATGTACTGAAATTTCCAGCAGTCACATTTCTGTAATCCTGCCTACAATTAGACTACAAGAGGTGAGATGACTGATGGTGAAGAAAGTTTACTTCTATAACAAAATAAGTTTTGTTACTTAGTGAGCTTATCTTAACCCAGCACTGCAAACGGGAGAGGAGCAGGAGTATGCATCTGGGCTGCTTTTACTCTGTATTTTCTCGGACAGACCCGAGTATTATTCCAGTCTTCATCCTGTGATCACTGAACTCAATGGGTATAGGCTTAGAAAAACCTCTTCTTTTTTTTTTTCTTTTTTTACAACTTTGTAAGCATGTTTGGCTGAAACCCGGGATTAATTACAGAACAATCCCATATATATACTATATATTCTCTTTCCCAGGGACAGCTAAAAAGTCACTATTTTATCTTTATTTGTGTAAAGCAAAACGTATAGCCTTACTAGTATCATCATTATCGGAGAGTGCAGCATTTTCGTTCCAGGCTGCAGCTGGCCAGCCTGCAAGTCTTTTAAATGACAGCTCAAGTGCTTCCTGCTAAGTTCCCAGCGTAGGCGTTGAGTGTCCTTCCCCTAAACATGTTGGGCTGTCAAGAAGCAGCCGGCTTGTATGTTCGAAAGAGATGAGAAGTGGTATTTTATTGTTCCTACAAAAATTATTGACCATTGACTTAGACTGGGCGAGGGGAGTGGGAGGGAGGAACTTAACAAAACTTGCTGATGACCCCTATGAAAGCGTCTTTTCCAAACAAGACTTACACTTGCCTTGATTTTATGTTACGCTTTGGTTGGCGGCCCATCACATGGACTCCATGTGAAAAGAGGCGGTTCATTTCTTGGAGCTTATTTCTCCTACAGTGGCTAAGAAATATTCCTGAGCAACCTTAACTGAATCAAGTATAGAACAAAGAAATATATAAAAGAATATGGAATGACTTTGATTAAATTTCAAGAGAAAATGCTTGCTGAAATCAAATTGAATAGATTTTTCCCTTTCCATATTAAACAGTATGTGCAATAAATTCTAGGTATCAGTGCCTGCTGTCCCAGAATACCAAGTGGCTGGGATTAGTCTCTGTGTGTGTTTGGGGATGGAACACGGGGACAGGAAAATAAAGTGTCGCTCGGGGCCCAAAATCTTACCTATCAAGGTGAGACTATTAAGTGTTTCTTAATATACTTCCAAAGTGTACTGGGGGCATTTTGGGAAGCACAGGGATTTTTGGATCAATACTCAATCTAATTAGATGTAATAAATTTAAGAAGACTGAGGACCAGATGCTTCAGAAGAAGATGTGAAGTGGCTATAAATGTGCAAATGGAACAATTTATCCATATGAAGACATTTACTTTTTAAATATAGGCAGATTAGTTGCTGATTTGCCTGGCAAATAAGGGTTTTTACTGGTTTTATATGTTATTGTTATCCTCAGTAGCATACCTAGATATATGTAGTGATTTTTAAAGTGGTTTATTAAGCTTGGAGTTTCAGCTAAAGACTGCGATTCCCACAGGTCAATTATGTTTTGTATTTTAAAAAGGTTACCATTTTTACATTTGTTGCCTTAATTTCAGTTGTTGTTCCATTATTTTTGTATCGCAAAAGATAAATGTTAAGTGCCTTCTATTTTCTATGTCCTTCATTTTACATAGCCAGTCACATATTTTGCTCGTTTTTCTCCAAATGAAAGTAATCCTATTTGATTTCTTTTCATCCCCTCCCATTGCCTCTGATGACCGTCTTCATATTTCTGTTAGGATCACGTACCGCTCATTAGCAGAAGTAACATTTTTGGTCTTTTCGAGGAGGAAAGTAAAGTCTCTACAGGCTTGTTCCCACAGAATTTCATTTACTTAACAATAACCGATTTCAATGTGTTGCTTTCCGAAGTCTGCCAACTCACAAGGAGGACACCTGATTTTACCTTTAAATGCTAAAGACGACTGTCTAGACTGAATTTTGCTAATATTGGTCCATTCAGGTGGTTTCTCTCCTGCCCCTGTGCATCCAAATCACACTTGGAGAGGTTTGAATTGTAGTGCAGCGTTGGAAGGAGCTGTTCAGAAAGCAGCCTCGGAGATGGTTGTCCCTGAAGGTGTTCGAGACGTGGCCAGACAAAGCCATGGCTTTTTTTCCCCTTTTACTTCTTTCCTCATCTTGCTGTTGCTTTGAATGCTCTTAAACACTACTGCTTAATGCACATTTTGATTATTCACGGGTTTTCCACACATCACTCACTTGTCATTTCCTTTTCCCATTTCATCTAACATGGGAGGGACGTCCACTGCAAGAGACACTCCTCTTGTCTACCTCTACTTTCTGTAAAATCCTATGTCTTGGTCCTTTTCTCTCCTCTGTCTGGCCTTTGTCACTGAAACCCTGCCTCTTTTTGCTTGGCTTGTGTTTATTGTTGTGTTCATAAAACCACAGTCGAGTGAAGACATAGATTTGTCATCCTCTGCTTACTGTCTTGCCTTTAGCTATCCTTATTTTCTGGTAATTATCTTGCCATCTCTTTACAGGCTTCTAACCATTTGCAAGGTAGAGAAATGTAAATTGTAATCCAAAACGTGTCCAAATAATTGATTCTATTTTCCTTTTGTTTCTACGTAAGTACCGCAGAATTGCAAGAGTAGTTCAATATTCTAGTACAGCTATTCCAACACTTGCTTCTTGATTTTTCTGGAGCGGCTCAGGAAAGTCAGAAGTCAATTAGAAAGTTACTATTAGTTGGAAAGCAACGTGTATGAGAATGAAATAGAAGAAAATGTATCTAATTCTGGCCAAAAGGTTGAGTTTGGAAGAAAAGGATTTTATAATCCAGTCCTAGCCGCCAGACTTGCAGTGTACTTTTCCCGTTATAAATCTGTACCAACAGTCTGTATGGCTGGTGAGTGATGGGTGTAACTCGATGAGCTACTAAGATAAGCTCATACCGTTTAGTTAAGTACTTTCTATACTGTTTAACTTAAAAAAAATTCCCATATTGGAGTTAGCATAACCTTTCACTGTGTTTAACTCCTGAAATGCAGAGGCGTCTTACTTAGTGCATCAAGAATTTTAAACACAGCAACAAGGAATAAAACATTTTGGAAGGAAAAACTGGGAATAATGGCAGGAAAAATATTTATCTTCGATTGGCCGGGCTAAATTGAACACTAATGACGTTCTCTGCTACACTCCAGCCTGACGCTCTTAGTGTGCAAACCAGCTTTGAGGAGGGGACTGAACCAGGCGACCTGCAGAGGCTCCTCAAAATTACACAGCGATCTCGAGGGACAAGACTGAAAGTGTCTTGTCTTCTAACGGGCATCCTGATTTGATTTTCTTTTTCCACACAGAAGGGAAAAAAAAGGACAATGTGCCGTACTGCCCACGCGTTTGCAGTACTTTGGTTTAGGGCTATCTCCATTGTTTCAACACAGAATACCCCCGTTATGAGAAGGCTGCTCTATTGAGTAAAATATCCCATGGCACAGCTATTTCCCATTCAGGTGGCTCCTTCCTTGCACACACACAGACACCGGGACCGTCTTGTGACGAGAGCAGGG